TCAGAAACTCAGTTCCACAATAAAATACAAAGTGGCAAAAGTTCGCTCGTGTGCTGAGACATCTTTGGCTTTCTTGTCACCTAGAATTTGCCACCATGATCAGGCGTTTCATGGTAGGCTCCCTAGCTACGGTGATGGGCTGAGAGGGCCCTGAACGGATGTTTGGTGTCTGTTATAGCTGAGCCAATGGCTCCTCAGGGGAAGGACTTTGTGCTCACAAGGAGGAGGCTCCTGAATATGACTTTTGTAATCAAGTGGGCATCTGATGACTGGTGAGCCACAGGCTGGGAAACACACACCCTGGCAGTGGCCCGCACACTGGAGGAAACATCACTCGGGAGACAACTTCTGAGGGTAGTTTAAGGATTAGCATTTTGAACTCTGAAGATGAAGAAATAAAAATTAATAATAATAATAAAGGAAATGCTTTTATACCACTAGGTAATCAAAAGACAGTTTCTGCTTATAAATCACATATAATTTTTTTTATCCATAGCCCTTGATCTGGCATTTAAATCCCATAATGGAATTTATTTTCTGATGGGTTTGACAAGAATAAACTCCCTGTCTTCTGAACGTGTCAAGGGCAGATCTGGAATCTGTTGTGCATACGTGATCTCAGTAAGCACACACACAGACTAGGCAATGATCTTGCTTTAGACAAATATTTGAACATATTTGAGTCACATGGTCTAAGGCACGTTGCCACTGTTGCTTTTTCAAGCTTCCTCATTTCTGTACAGGGAATAGGCATCTTCAGGGCCGTAAGCAAGGGCCCAAACCAGAGGAAGAAGAGTTGACTTGAGCCAAGAAATTGTTAGACTACAAGGCAAGCTTCCAGATATCACTGCTGGAAAGCCCTGCTCATGGCTCTCATTTTTAAGGTGGGGTTTTACAATATTTATAATTTTCATTGTTGAAAAGTTCACATCACATTTTCTGCTGTTACAATTCACTGGAGCCGAAAGAAACTCTCTGAGCCCATTTCAGACATTTAGCTCTTCTCATCCACATCCGGGGAGGCTATTGGGCGCCAACAGAACCACAGTCCGGACTCCCATGGTCATGACGCAGCATCTTCGTTTGGGAACTGCAGACTTCTAGTCCACTTCTCGGGAAGCTAATTCATACAAGTCATCACTTGCCCCTTTCCCCGAGGAACCGTGTCCGGAAAGAATAATAATCTGTCCTTCACTGTGTATTTCATATGCATATATGGTCAGAAAAGGCTCTCCCAGTTTATGCTATCAAGGCAGAAAGTCTCTTGGGTGCCCTGCCCATAGGTCTTAGTCCAGGGGTTCTGAACTATTAATATTTTAGACTAGGGGAGTTCTTGAGGTGTGTGATAGGGGGCTCTGTGTTCTCTGAGATGTTTACAGCATTCCTGGTCTCTATTCAGGAGATCCCAATAGCAGCCCCTTAGCTGAGTGTCAAAAATACCAACAAACATTACTAAAGGTGCCCCAGAAGGAAACTACTCCCATTTGAGAAGCACCGTCTTGGGTTTTACCCCAGGCTCCCCCAGAGAGCTGCCACTGGTGATGCATGGTTCCCGGTCTCATACTAGGAAAGTGTGGGAGGCCCCCACTTTCCCCCCAGGGTACTCTTGAGTAGAGAGAAGTGAGAAATATTTAGATAGAAATACAGAGGGGAGAGAGAGAGATAGAAACATAGGATAAACTGGGCGGTGGTGGTGCATGCCCATAATCTCAGCCCTCGGCAGAGATAGGTGGATTTCTGAGGCCAGTCTGGTTTACAGAGCAAGTTCCAGGACAGCCAGGGCTACATACAGAAACCCTGTCTCGAAACAAACAAACAAACAAAACAAAAACATAGGATAGCCTCGGGAGGGCCTGGATCTAAACCCTCCAGCCCCTTCTGGCTCTGCTAAAGGGCTTTTAAAGGAATGCCAAGGGGGTGGAGCAAAAGACCTCCCCCAGCACAGCCAAGTGCAGACTCTTCCGATCACCTGGTGACCATGCATGTGGTCAATCCATCTCTTAATGCAGCCCTGCTGAGTAAAGCAAGTTCTGATCTCACTAGGAAACCTCTGTGGGCCTCCACATGGTAGTATGCCAGGAGGAGGCCCACAGTGCCACCAGCCAATGAAAGAACGGGGATCACAAATATGTACTTGACTGCCATGGCCCTTGGAGGAAGCTGCTGCGGTGTGCAGGAGACTACTCTTGGAGGGCTCCCAGCAGGAGGGAGCCTGCCCTGCCCCCACATAATTGTGCCCTTCCCTTGGTTTTCCTCTTTCCCTGAATTTCTCCCCCCCATTACCTACCTTCTTTGGATCACTCCATTTGAGTCCTTGTCGTCTAGCCTGCTTTTGTGTGGGAGGTTGTGTGGGGGTGGGTATTCCAAACAAGGACCCGCCAGTCTGAGCCGGCTTGACTCCGGCTCTCCGGCCCATTGAGGGTGGCCTTGGTGCTTCTAAGACTTTGTTTTCATACATGGGGGAAGCCCAGCTGCAACAATACTCATCACGTTCTTATGGGTTAATTACCACACTGCATACAAAGGGTGTAATATGCTATCTGGCTAGGAACGATCAATAAATATTAGCTTTTGCTGGGTGTGGTGGTGTAGGCTTCTGGATTCTTTGCTTTCTAGTTGTCTGCCTGGAGGCAGGTAAGCAGGTAAGCAGGATACAAGTGGGACAGTGATCATTCTGATATGCTCTCTCCCCGTAAAAACTCCACCGGACAAATTTCACTGGGTCTGAATTACAGGTTTCCTCATGCATGTCAGTAGTTCTCTCTTTCTTTCTTTCTTTCTTTCTTTCTTTCTTTCTTCTTTCTTTCTTTCTTTCTTTCTTTCTTTCTTTCTTTCTTTCTTTCTTTCTTTCTCTCTTTCTCTCTCTCTCTCTTTCTTTCTTTCTCTCTCTCTCTCTCTCTCTCTCTCTCTCTCTCTCTCTCTCTCTCCCTCCCTCCCTCCCTCCCTCCCTCCCTTCCTTCCTTCCTTTCTCTTCCCT